TCTCAGCTAAAACCTTTGTGACTTGTTATGTCTCATTAGTTATAAACCACTTTTCTTAAGCATCCAACCATTAAACCATTTCCTCTATAAAGTTTGATCTTACACTCAGATTTTTTATTGAACGTGATAGAAGATTACAAATAATTTTAAGCAATTCACAGAAGGACTGTGTTAAGTGGTGACAGCTGCTGATGAAGTGGAAATTGTCCTTATTAGGAGGGCAGTCACTGAGTAAGACCTTGATTTCCTGGCAGTTCCAGGGCGGCTGTTAGTTAGCTGACCCTGCCAAATACTCACTCTTATGAGGATGTAGAGAAACAATGGCTTTCAGCACCATGGACAGGTCCTTCACAAGTGAAGAACTATAGCACAGCATCTTGTTTAAAAAAATAAGATTAAATACTATACATAAATAGCCCATATTATATGAATAACCTATTACACAATCATAGGTATTAGTACAATTTGTATCTTACATTATTAGTAGTTAATTACAGTTTATTACAGACTGTTCAGTCTGAATCTTTCAGGTTTCATATATTCTAATGCAGTCTGTATGGTATATTTTGGGCACCACAGAAAAAAAGGCTACCTGACTAACAATTGTATGCAAATATGTATGTCCTTTCTGCTTGAATCAGCACTGTCTCAGAAAGGGCTCAATGATTAATTTGAACTCTCACTATAAAGTCTCACAGACACCAATCTATAACTAGTCCAATACCTGCACTGCCAAAGCTATATTTCAGCACGGTGAATTCTTACCCTTTTTTTTAAAGACAGATAATGTATAATTCTGCTAATGCAAACAGCTTCCTCTGCAGCACGGTTTATCTATAGATCAGATCCACACTGACTGCAGCTTCTCCAATGTCATCACAATGTGCATCTTGTCAGTTCTTCCAGGCGTTCATCTCTTGCTCTGCTCTTTATGAAATAGTTTTATTCTTTGCCTTTTTTTTCAGTTGACCTTGCCGGTTCAGGCCTCTCAGAACTTTTAATTAGGTCTCTGATTTGATTGGAGCTGCCTTTGTCACTGCTTGCCTGCCTGGGATGTCTTCTACAAAGGAACATATTCCCCCCTTGAAATGCCATTGCATGACATGGCATCAAAAGAAATGGCAATCCCAATGAGGCCTGTCTGCAAAAAAAATTCCATACTGTCTCTAGCCATGAAGACCGATTGGCTTCACCAAGGTTCTCTGCTAGATAGACAATCCCTTTGAAAAGCCAGCAGCATCACATGACTCAAATACATTGATGTGTGTGTCTACTGTATGAGGGAAGACATTGTAGACTTCCAGTCTGTTCATGGTACGGCAAAACAAGAAGGTTTACAATGGAACATAATAAATAATGGGCAGCAAATACTGCAAGACGGATGGTGTTGTAAATGGCTGTCGTCTGAATGTACAGTACTGTGTTTCATGTCAGGGTTGACTTATTAGAATTTTCATGCCTCACTGCTCCACCAGCATGCAGGAGTTTACAGAAAAATCCATCCAGAAAATCGCCACTGTTGTCTTCACCACAATTGCCGTCATTGTGGTCAGCTTCTTGCCAGGTTAGGATTCCAACAGTGTCAATCGTTCAGGAGGTTTTAACCGGCAGCCAAATTTGGTGTCCTCCTCTCCATAACAGATGGACCAGGGGATTAAAACAGGTAGAAACACTGAATAAAGCAGATTCATGTTAAAAATAAGTATTTCACCAACACTGTTTGGCAGACACAGCACGTCTTGGAGGGGCTGTGAGCCGAGCTGATGTTTGCTTGGCTTGTTTCTCATATAACTTAAGATCCAGACCTCCGATGATAAAAATCCTTCATCTGGTCAAAATACATATTTGAAAACGATCAAGATCTAAAACATGTATCATAAAAGTGTGGCTAAAAACTGGATAAAAAAATTCAATCTCAATTTCGATTGTGGTGGGCAACCACAACCCTGACACATGTGCAAAGGGGATATTACACCATTGAAAGGTGACCAAATGAAACTGACCACTACCTTGATTAAAATCATTGGATAATGCTTGATTTGAAAATTACTGGGAATATTTGGCATAATGTAAGTACACAACAAAACAAAATATATAACATAGGTCTACATTTTACATATTATAACTTTTTTTTATTTTTTTGCAGTTTTTAATAGAAATGGTCAGGAAAGTAATGAAATAGAAAAATCATCAAACTACAGAAATGCATTTTACCTCACTATTTAGCTCACCATGGGTCAATATTCTACCAACTGACTGGTGGTTCTTTAATAACTTCACACAGTTTAATTCCATCACATTGTGTGTGCTGGGCAGACAGGCCCTGTGGATCAAACTTCTGATGAGATTACGATCCACTTTAATCAAGATAGTGTAAGTCATAAGGATGGACCTCGCTGTGGAGCCGGCTCATCTTCTGCACTGATTCTGGCTGATAAGTCCTAAAGCTGAGGCTGCAAGGGGGGAAAACTCTCTGGGAACCTCTCAACCTGAAGTGATTGGACAGCTGCTGCTGAGGTGACCAGAACACCAGTTAGCTATAATCGTTTTCTAACAGGGTTGCATCGCAGAAAAGACCAATTACTTTGGACATTGATTGCACTCCCTGTCTTTGATCATGTAATTGCTTTGAGAGGGACAAGAGTGGTTCTACTACTAAACAGGTGTGTTCAAAAAAGATTATAGCAGAGTTCTCATTTCTTAAAAAAGAGACAGAGGGAGAGAGAAAGCAGAAAGATTGAATGTCATTATCACTCTTAAACTTTCTGGTATGAACAAGACCATAGTTTATCATCATGTCAGTTATTATGATCACTGTATCTGAGGATCTGAAGCTTGAGTTTTATTGATATTTTGTATTTCTATCTGCCTCTCGACCTCGAAAGTCTGGCACTTTTCCAGTTATTTTCTCTTTCAACAGAGGCCAAGACCTCTCAGCATGGCTCCTCATACTCAATACAATACAGTAATTAAATTATATTTCAATATGTGGGCGCTGATCACATTACACTACACTCATTTGGCAGATTCTTTTGTCTATCTGCAGTGAGTATCGCCAATGTAAAGTGGGCACATGCAGTGCTATTGTTTGTGATTGGCAGTTGGTCTCCTCTCCTGGTTTAATCATCAGCATGAAAGATGAGTAACTGCGTTAGAAAATGTAACTCCGTATCCTAGAAATTGTGTTTATACCAGAGACTGGGTTTGCACCTTTAGTGCTGTGTGTGGTTTGGTTTTAGAAACAAAACCGTGATTTTGCTAAATGTCAGCAAGGTAAACACGTCTCATGCTACAAGTCACTGTTGCTGTATTTGATATTAAACCGACACCACAATCTTTGCGCTGTGAGTGCCTAAATGTAACCATAAAAAAGTTTATTCATGCTGAAGTTGCTATGAGAGGATATCGCATTGTAAGAGCAGAGATTGTAGAAATATAGATATTGCACGTTCAGTATGAACAGTTTGCAACTTGGTAGATGCTGTAGGTTTATTTATAATAAATTATCCTTTATAATAATAATAATAATAATAATAATTTTGTAAGCAATGCCCTATCACCAGGCTTAAAATTTTGTTTAGTTTACTGCTAACGGCAAGCTGGTGCCAAAGGTTACGCCTTGGTGAAATCTGTTAACACAATCATCAGTTTAAATGTGCTCATTTTTCAATTATGCCTCAATTGGATGATTTCGGAAACTCTAGTGCAAAGTTTTGTAAAATTGCTACAGCTCTAATTTACACTTCTGACTGGTGTCTTCTCCTTAAAACAGCAGATGAGACCCTTGGGGTTTGTAGTGTTTAGAACCATCCACCAAACTCAGACTTTCTCAGAAAAAAGGTTGAAATACTGAAACTGATTAACATCACATAAACTTATATCATTAAACTGTCCAGGAAATTCCTGAGGATATCATTAGAAGAAAAAATTTAAAGGGTATTTACAATGAGTAAAAAATACTTTAACTCTAGGTGTATTGGTCTTTTCTTGTTGGTTTTATACTATTTTCTCTTGGATTTAACTGAAACCATAACAAAGTGCTCAGGAAACAGTTGCTGCCAAGGCAACAACTTTTTCTTGGCTGTCCTTGTTTAACAACTGGTGTAACCTGACAGGGAAAGAAGAAGAGTTTCATACAAAAGCAAACTGTAAGTAATGGTTTCCTAGTAACTACAGGACTTGAATAAATGATTCCAGCTCAAGCTTTAGGTCACAAGCTGTTGAGCTCTATATGTGTGTGTGTGTGTGTGTGTGTGTGTGTGTGTGTGTGTGTGTGTGTGTGTGTGTGTGTGTGTGTGTGTGCAAGCGTGTACAAGTATGTGGATAAGTTCACAAATCCCCAACACCTCCTTACATCTATTATAAGAGTCTTAGTGAGAGCTCTCTGGTACTTTAGACACCATTAGGCTTCTGCACTTCTTGTTAATATCAATAGCAACAACCACAGCAGTCAGAAAATGCTCAGAGAGAGAGAAAGAGAGGCTGAAATGTGGTCAGACACACAGTGATGAAGCCTGAAGGCTGGAGAAGCTGGAAGGATAGCCGTTTAAATTTGTAACACCTACTATGTGGTGGAGGAAGTAGTCACATCATTTGCTTCAGTAAAAATAGTAACACCACAACAGAAAAATCCTCCATTGCAGGTGAATGCCCTAAATCTAAAGTAAAACCAAAAAAAAGTAAAGTATTATCAGCAAAATGTAATGGAGGTTTTGGTGTATAAAAGTGTGTAAATCCACAAATGTAAAACATGTCGTTGGGAAAGTACATACAGTAGCTATAGCTATTTATCTCCAGTCAAAATGTTTTTCAATATTTCCTTTGTATTGCCAGAGAAAATAATCTCTGGACAAAGTCAGAGTTGTTATGGATTTTTACTTGCACCATCTCTTTACAGAATAAGATATGATTTTGATTGTATCAGATGACATTTGTGTTTGATATATTAGTTCCAGTAATGCGAATTTAAAACTGCAAACACCTCAGCGGGAGTCTCTTACCGTCCTGTGCATCTTGTCCTCCAAATCCTGGTTGATCCGCTGTAGAGCTGCATAGCTACTCTGGATCCTGAAAGAACAGAAGAGAAAAGAGTTGTGCCCTGTAAAAATGCAAATCACAACATATGATGACTAAAGAGTGTTTTACTGGCCATAAGCCTGAATAAGCACCAGTAATCTCCGCATAAACTCAGATGGAGAAATAAATAAATTACTAGATCAGGGCACTGACGGAGAATCTTGGAGGGGATTTGCAGGATATTTTAAGTAGTGACTGAGATTTGAAGATCACTCAGGATAAAAATCCGCTGAGCTAAAACACAGTAAAAAAAAAGGGCTGATGATATGTTTAAGTGCCACAGCAGGAGATAGTAAGGAAAAAATATTATGTGATCATAAAAAAAAGTTTTTAATCCTTAAATATTTTATGAAAAGAAATCAGTAAACATGCAGAAGCAGACACATAGCACGGACTTTGCAAACTTTTTGTGTCTTTTCTTTTTAAATTCTCCCTCTTGCTTTTGTGTTTCTTCATAACTTCCTCTCTGCTTTTATTTCTCTTGCCTCTGTTGCTCTTTGGTAAACTTCCAGTGCATTAGTAACTGTCTGTATGTTAACTTGTTCCTGTTATTTCATCATGCTACATCTCTGTTAGGTGTCACATTTTCACATTAGCTCTTGAGCCTAAGAGAGTGTTGATAAAGCAGCATTTTTGACTCCATTAGTCAGACTGACATGGAGATTGTGGGTAATGGAGACAAAAACCAAAGACAAATCATGAAACAAAGAGCTGAAAGAGATTTGAGAAGGTAAAGACAGAGTGTAAATGAAAATGAAGACGTATCATTGGGAGAGAGTGGTTCACTGATTGATGGAGAGCAAAACCGGACATTATGAGAGGCAACACTGAGTGATGGTACTGATTTAAGAGGAGCTCCTTTGCTGAGCTGAGTCTGTCAGGCAGCACTTCCTGTCTAACAACAAGCTCTACCAATCTTGCAGATGGTTAAAATTAGGGAGAGGGCAGGGGCTGGTCTCTGCCAATCATAACAAAAAAAAAGAAAAAAAGATGGGATTTGTGCAGAGCCTGAGAGGATCAGACTCCCCTGCACAGATTTAAACGTGGACCATACTGTCTGCTTTCCAAGTTTCCAAGTTTCTGGCCAGAAACGAGCTTCAAGGAAGAGTTTCAATTCTATTTAAACAGCTTATTTATCACATTTATTTATACCATGGCCACAGAGAACGTTCTCTTCTGTCTGACCAGAAGGTTTGCAATATTTGTAGATAATCTCCTCACTCTGAGGTTATCATCACGCTAAATTAAAACTTATAGCTGCAGGGCCACTCATCTATTTGTTACGAAGCTACAGCTCCTTCTCCTTGTTCGAATAATAAATGAAGACTTGATCCAAAGTTGTCATAGATAGCGCCAAAACAATGCTTTCATTTAAAAAGCATACTGCCTTAAAGTATGAATGAATACATTGATGCCATCATTTAACTCCATCCCATGCAGTGAAAAGGAGCTTGATGATAATAATGCATTATTTTTCAATAACAACAGGGCTTGTTTTGATTAAAGATTACTATGCGGCCAAACCTCCCACATACTATCTAGCTTGTTCATACGTCAATGATCTTCATTAGGGAAATGTAACCATCATCACACAAGGTTCATATACAAACACATGTACATTGATGCTCATTCGATTATTTAATCACTGGACCACAGAAGGTAAGTCAGTTGGTGCAGAAAATTAGGTACGGTCATGCAGTCAAAAAGGCACATAATGATACTGATACTATACTCAATTATTACTTAATTAGGAGTTATTAGTTATTTTCATTTATGTGCACAGGGAAATTACAATATGGTTAAGGTTAGAGAAAGATGATGATTATGGAAAATTAACTATAGTCAAGGTGTGATTAAGGTTAGGCAAGTAAAACACATGGTGAAGGTTAGGGAGAGATCAAAGTTAGATCATAGATAATCTGGGCAGCACATGCATACAATATAAAAAGACAATCAGCCCACAGAGTTGTACACATGTGCACACACACACCTGCGTAGTTTCTCTGTAAATTTCTCCAGTTCCTCCTGGGCCCGGCGCAGCTCTGTCTCGAGGTACTGCCGAGTAGAGTCGAACTCCGTTTCCACCATCTCTAGTTTGTGGGTGGTGTACGACAGGCGCTTACGGAGGTCATCCTTGTGGTCGTGGAAAGAGCTGAACAGGCAGCAGGGAGAGTTTAGTGAACAGGATTCCCACAAGACACAGTCACAACGATGATGTACATTCACTGGTGTCAAAGTTTGTCAGACTCGTAGAGCCAAGTAGAGAGGGGGAGAGAGAGAGAGAGAGAGAGAGAGAGAGAGAGAGAGAGAGAGAGAGAGAGAGAACGGAGACAGATATGAGCTGAAAAGGCAATAGAGTAAGTAAGTGTGCATGTGTTTGTGTGAGAGGGAGGGAAAGGGATGAAGTGTTGCTGGAGTGTAATTCAGTTTGGAGCGAGAGAGTTCCGAGGCAGGGGGGAAGGCAGGGAGGCCAATGGGGAGGAGGAGATGGATGGAGGAGGAATACTAATCATTTCCCATTCACAGGGAGGGAGCAGGGCTGGGAAAGGAGCTCCCATCGGTGTAATGGTGAATTCCCTTATACACAACCCTTCTTATCGAATCTCTGAAAGAAAAGGAAAGGATTTTTGCCCCCAGACACAGACCATGGGTGACTCATAGGAGGTGAAAATATAGAATGGAATAGAAAGGTTTTGTGTTTGATCAAGCTTTAAAAGAGGGTGAAAGAGCAAAGAAAAAGCATGAGAGAGAGTGAGCGAGAGGCCAGAATACCACAGTTTCAACACCACCACCATCAACAACAACAACATAAGAGGTAGGGAGCAATATTTCGACCGTGTGTTTGATGCAGGTTTGAGCGCGGGGGATGAAAACACACCGACAGGCTTGACTGAGGGAATGGATGTGGTAATGAAAGGCTAGAGATGGGGAGCAGGGGCAGTGTGTGCGCTCAGAGGGATTTAGCATTTTGCCAGACTGATGGAAACTTGGCTCACAGGGAGGTTCGACAGCTCAGCGCTGCCATCCAGCAGGCACAATGAGAGCACCTCCAAGTTCACCTCGGCCCAGAGCCTCAATTAGGAAGCTGGCACTAAAGGAGGAGAAAATTGTGTCCAAAGAAAGACTTATGGACTCTATTATATCAATACATGTGAGAGCCAATGGAGTTACCTTAATTTTTAGGTACTTGGTTTAAGATCTCCACTAATTAAGCATAAATCAAGCAGAAAGTAATCAGTATATAACTAGCCAAGCAAAAATAAGCCCATAGACGTGGACCCTAACATAAGAATTGTAGATAAACATATGGCCCTGTGCAAAAACAGCATGTTAACTATTTTAAACAATAGAACAAAAATTTGAAAAATACGCTTATTTGACTTCTTTGTGAGAATGCAGTGAGGAGACCAGTGTTATCATTCAATTTGGGATTCACTTTCCTGCTGAGGGATAGATGAGAAGAGTGATACCTCTCTCATATCTGTGCGTCAAGAACAGAGCTGGAGCCAGAAGGTTTGCTTAGCTTCCTTAGACAGGAAGCAGGGGGAAACAGCTAGCCTGGCAGTGGCACTCGTTAAGTAACACGTTATATTTCACTTATTTAACTTGTACCAGAACATAAACAGAAAACAGCAGTTTGTGGTTTTATGAGTTGAAACTATTTGTTGGCAAAGAACAACAGGGAGCAGCGCAGAGTTGTACCAGTGTGCTGGGCGTCTAAATATGTACTACGTTCCTCAGTCTTTATGCTAAGCTAAGCTAATTGCTTAGCAATAACATTTTATACCCATACACTGAATAGTTTAATGCATCCAACATGCTGAGGCTGGCAGCTGCAGCACACTCCACTTGCCTGATGTCACAACAAAACAAAATCTTTACAACCTCTCTGCTGTCTAACAGCTGCAAGTGATGTTGTAAAATCACATAGCAAGGAGCCAGAGAGTTTTGTAAGTACATGTGAAAATTGCTCTGGGCTCTTATCAGTAAGTAATGCTGGTTTAATTAAGTCTGAGAACACAGCCACTGATTTTTTTTCTTTTTTTTTAGGGTATTACATTTTTTTGATGGCATCCAGATGTATAAGACTTTTGCTGTTAAAATTCAGTGCAATGTTAACTTTAATGTAGATGTCAGCTGATACATGATCAAGATATATGAAGGTGAATGATGAGAACGAATACATGCCACATTATGTTTTTAATGGCTTTTTAATGGTCATGCCCTCCCAGTGAAAATCCATTTCCATTAGTCAAAATGAATGAAATGAATTCCCCAATAAGACTGACTCATCTTACCTTCTTTTCTGATGTTTGCAACCATTTCTCTGGGTTTTGAGGGCAGTTTTGCCAATATATATCTTTTTCATATTTTTCGCTCTGCTTCGGCTCTCATGTGTGTATCGTTGTTGCCTCTGTTGCTGGATGGCTGAATGTTGAAGCCAAGTTTGAACTCTAACCACAAACCAACAGTCAAAGCTCTAAGTCTTGCCTGGGGAGGCAGATAGGAGTTGGCTATCTGTGATGACCCTGGCAAGAGAGCAGAGAGAAACAGCTTTGAAGTCCCACAGATTTAGCAGCACATTTAGTTCTGTTGACTCCAAAGAAAAAAAAAGCAGCAATTTTGTGTGCATTCAGAAAATGAGCCAGTTTGGAGCAGAGCTGTGCAGGGATCAATAAGATAAATTCAGTGAGTAAATGTAAATAGTATGCAATACTTCGAATGATTGCATCTCCAGCTAAACTTTTCCTATAAATCTATGATCCAAAACACAAGAGCATTTGAATTTCTAAAAAATAACTGGTTACAAAGTTAAAGAAGTCTACAACACTGAATATAGAAACATCAAGTCATCAAGTCTCCTTTTTCATCATCATTTCTCTCTCTTGTTGGGAATAAATGAATACCACCACCACAAACTGCAGGACCTCATGGAATAGTGAGTTATTGACCAGCTGACCACAGAGGTTATTCCTCAATAAATCAGTCTTATGATAGGTGTGTATTTCCATTTCCATCCCTCATCATTGCTTGGTGGTGCTGGGGCTTGAACTCAGGGCTCATGCACCGTAACAACTTAATAACCTGCCACTGGCAATCATAAAATGCCAAAATAAACCTTTGTAGGCGTCTTTAGGCGGCTGCATTTGAGTCTTGTTGATGTAATTGAAACACATACTCACTAAGCCTCTAGCAGTGATTGTCCAGTCAAGGATGCTTGGTATATAAAAGAGTTTGGTGTCTTAATCATTTCCAAACCCCCCCAAAAAAACAACATGCAAAAGTATATAAAATTGATTAAACAGTGTGCATATTTGCCTCTACAGCTGTAAATGTTAACATTTTCAACTAATTAGCTTACTGCAGAAATCTAATGGAGTATTGTTTCCAGGGCCATTGAGCATTTTATTAGATAAGTACATTTTGTCATTTCAAAAAAAATCCATTCACAACTGGATCATCCATTGTGTAGAATGATATATAGTGTCCATGATGGTATCAGAGTTTAGGCCAACATTAGCATCTCTATCCTGCTCTTTATTGCATTTGGGAAAGTTTTCACACCAGCAGCAGCAGCCAAACTCTTTTTGCAAAATAGTGAGACATCAATTAGTCCTAATCTTAAAAGACATTTAGTCATTTTCTCCTTATGTTAAAAGAGAAACATGTTTGAAAATGTGAATAAGCTCCTAATCTCTGTCCTGCTTGTCCAAGATAAGCAGCCAAATAGTGTTATGTTAGAACGAAAACACAATCTGATCTTACAAATTTCCTGTCACATACTGGGACTACTACTGTCTCCATATTTCCATGTCTGCTATATGGGTTGTCAACTATTAAGAATACTAACTTTTTACCTGGGATGTGTCAACTAGCTTTAGCCTCAGTCCTTTAATACTATACCATGTGTACCAGTCACTGAATATTTGAGCCTTTTACAGGCTTTGAGTTATTAAATGAATTAGTGGGAAATGGTAAAAAGTAAGCAGTGGACAGTTCATTGAATTTTGGCATTAGGATTTGCTTAATGTTAGTTAGCTACAGCTGGTAAAAACAATTAGCAGCAGCTGTGTTGTCAACCAAATCCAAAGTGGTCAACTAGTTGCAAAGCTGCTTTTGTCTACTGAGTGAAATCAAGGACCCTATTGTTTCAGAAATGACTGCACACTGTGAGTGGTAGATCTGCCATCGCTGTCTTTGTACACTGCCTTATGTGTCATGCCATACCGTCTGTGTACCATGCTCACACGGCTTGACCGGTGTAACAACAGTAACAATGGGGGACGTCACTTAGCGAACGGTCAATTTACCACGACACCTATCTTCTCTAAACATCTCCGACTATAACTGGGGTGCGAGCATTTTGATAAAGTCCATATATGTGGCTTTTAAAACTCACTGTGTTCGGTCCTTAAGAGCCAAGTAAGCATAAATACAGACAGGGGTTGCCAGCAGCATAACTTTTATCAGTCCGCACAGAGTTGCAGGGTAGCAGTTCAACAACAAAACTGGAATGAATGTTTTGTTGCCTGCTGCCATTTCTAAAAGCACCATTATTTATTATTTTTAATCTCCCTTCAACACTGGCTCAGGAAACAATGGCAGTATCTGGAAACTCTGATAATACAGTTGCTATAGCCATTTTCTTATCTGCAAGTCACAGAGGGAGGGAGAGAGAAAGAAGACAGAAATAGTTGCTGAATTGGTAAGGAAGTGCAGTTGCATAGAATCCATCCTCACATGCACACACACAAACACAAACCTCCCTGCAGTGTATATGAAGTACCCTCACTGTATCATAACACCTCCTCCAGGGGGATAAACAGCAGATCTTAGTGCCTCAGGTGTTGTTTGGCAAGGTAAACACTATCCACATGAAGGAACAAATCTTAAATCCTTAGAGAACTTCATGATAGGCTCACTGCTGTTTCTACACTGCCAGAGAAACTCAAAACAGCAAAAGATATGTAAATCAAACACACTTTCCTCTCTTCAGAGTTCCCTCATAAGTATTAAGAGGAGTCTATAGTCTGGATCGAAACACAAGTAAACCCTGTTTACCTGAAATACTTTCCCCAAGTGTTACAACTTGTCATAATGATCACACAGTGCACACTACTGGCTGTACAACAAATGGTTGCTGTAATGCTGCAAACTGTAACCTACTTCAGGCAGACAGTTTCCGCCTATCACTCTGCCCGTAAACGTTCTCTCTTTTCATGAGAATGGTTCTCACAGCAGCTGACTCCAGTTTAATTCATTAAAAAAAACAAAAAAAAAAAAAAAAAAACTTAATGCAAAACCTACAAAAGGTCACCACCAGCCAGCATCTGTTTTAGATCTACAACGAGGAGCCCTTATGGTGCCTGCAGGTTGATTTACTAGTAATGAGCCACAGGAGGTGAGCGAGGAAGAGCTACAGCCTGCCAGATATACTATTCACAGTGACCAAATGAGGGCATTAAACTTTAATGGCAACAGTGCCATCTCTCCTGAAGTCTTCTATTAAATGAACAGCAGACAGAGACACAAGCTCTTTATCTACTGTAAACAATAAACCTTCATATTACAGCTTAGAAAATAACTCTTTAAGTGTTATTTTGTTGTTTTGGCCGTTATTTCTCTGACATTGTACTAACAAAAGCAATTGCTGAGATTTAGAAACATGGTGACATTGCTGCAACGAAATCCGACATGGTAAAAGACTAGAGCAGTCTGACAATCAAACAGGCTGTAAATAAGCAAACAGTCTGGCCAGGTTATCTAAACCTATTTCAACAAGTCTTTCAACAAGTCCTACAAGTTGCTTCTTCCCTTTCCTGTTGAGAGTTAGATGAAAAGATTGATACCGTTGCAAGTACCGATGTCCGTACTGTAATTATAAGGCCAATTAGCATAGCTCAACATAGAGTCCGGAAATGGGGAAAACATTTATCCCAGCTTTGTTCAAAGGTAACAATCCAAGATCCACCTATTATTACCTTTAAAGCTCCAAAATTAACATGCTAATTCTCATTTGTGCAAAAAACTAACAAAAAAAAAAAAAACATGTATGGAAAGTTGCAAGGTTACATGCAGAGACTGGCCAAGATCCCTGGCACATCCCCTGTTTTTTCATCCCCGTATTTACACTTCCTGTTTCCCATAATGTCAAACTACTGCTTCAAAGTTTGGTTAGGTTGAGGCACAAAAGCTGCTACTTCAGGTAAGAGAAAGATTGTGATCAAGTTTGAAAGGAACCAATGACTGCTCTTGATAGACAGCCATCTGTCACAATCTGCATGGCCACAAGTGGTCCTTGACAAAGTCATTGTCTAACCATCAGCTAATTATTTACACCAAAAGTGATCACACCCATAACGCTGGGAATACTGGGTGATTGCACAGGATACTGAGAAGTTACATCAGATATGAACTAGGATCTCTGTCTATTCAGCCGTGATGGATGTTTACAATAAGCAGATTAGGTAATTATTTTACCATTTTTATATTTGTTTTCTCCTCCAAATAATTTTGGCTAACCTGGTGGACTGTATGATTATCTGACTAACTATATTTCTCGGAATGCTTCACTTATTTCTAGAGATATTGCATTCCCAGACCTTAGAAATGAACATGACAAATACAATGTTAATGTTACTGATATGAATAGTGGCCAAAACTACAAAAGTAAGGTCCAAATTTAAATAAATCAAAAGCCAAAAGTGACCAAACATAAGCAGAGGTGATAATTAGTAACATTATATGAAAAAAACAAAAACTTTTCCCTTGGTATGATATACCACAGAGGATGAAGCTTTGCTCGAGAGCCATGTGTTGTGTATTTCCTCTGATGCAAGACTCCAGAAATACAACAGTCTCTTGTGCATGCTCCACTACCAGCGGCCAGAAAAACAGCTCTGTGGATTAAGTCACCAGAGCAATGATGATGACTAGTCAACACAATTTCCTGCCTGAAGACAAGAACTGCAACTGAGAAGCGATCCCAACACTGTTTATCTCTCCTTTAATTTCTATCTACATATCAAAAGCGACTCAACCTGAAGTGGTTAAGGAGGACAAACTCATTGGCCTTGAAACTAATAAAACTTAAGAAGCACTCCAACTTCTTACAATAAATGCCTGATGTGTTATTATTACTTGAGCCACTAAAACATATGAGGTTGAATTAAAATACCCAAAAATGTCACTGATAACATCTGTAGTGTCTGACTGTGGTTATGATGATAGTATAAATCAGGAACTCGATGTACAGCAATACACAGAAATATCAGACCTGACCATGTTGTTCCAGGTGATGTCAAACAGAGTTCAGGGCCAAACAGCCAATCTGTTTGAATTCACTGACTTTTTAACCATAACACTTTC